TCTGTGAGACTCTTATCTCCAATCAAGCACCAAAAAAGCTGGGAGTGCAGCTATGTCTCAAGTGGAGAAACTAGCCTTGAGCAAAAAAGTTCAGGGTCAATGTCCAGGTACTGAGTTCAAGCACCAGAACTTGCACCAAAAACAACAACAATAAAACTGGGTTAACATTGCATGAGACTAAGACCTTTTTCCCTCTGATTTCATATGCTTAATGTGTACACCAGTTTGGGAAACCTAAATAGAGTTTATTAATTCCAAGACACTACATAAGTGAGGGGAAACCAGGTAACAAGACAGACACAATTCTTGCCTTTGCAGGTATCATATTTGATTATGCTGTATCTGGTATGGAATGTCAGCAGACAGAACACTAAGCAACTCTTAGAGTTCATTGCATAAATAACCAGTGTGGCATTAAATAAGTTTTTCACTTTTCTATATTTCCATTTACATCTCTGTAAAATGCTGAGGTTTGGCCAGGCACCAATGGCTCATGCCTGTAATCCTGCATTCATTAATGCAGTTGATAATAGTGAGTCCTGCATTATCCATGCCTGTAATCCTAGATATTCAGGAGCCTGAGATCTGAGAATCGCAGTTCAAAGCCAGCCAGGGCAGGAAAGTCTGCAATACTCTTTTCTACAATAAACTACCAGAAAACCAGAAGTGGCACTGTGGCTCAACTGGTAGAGCACTAGCCTTGAGTTGAAGAGCTGAGGGACAGAGCCCAGGTCCGGAGTTCAAGCTCCATGACCAACAAAAAAAAATGCTGAAGTTTTAATTGGACAATTTCTAGTTTATCATTCATTACCAGCCTCACATGAGCAGTAACTTTGTTACCTTTTGTAGTTCCTAATGTTCATTATCTAGTCATTTTTATTTTATTTAAGAAATTAGCAGTTGCAGAAATTTCTTCCAATTCTTTTCCGAAAATATCTTTGTCTGATGATATAAAACTTCAATATTCTTAGAGACACAGCTACCTAAGCCAGAATATTATTGAGATTAATTTTTATTAAGTACCTATTCTCTCATGTCATTAATTCATACTTTTATATAAGATGGTATTGCCTAAGATACTATTACCTTGAATGTTTGTGTATTTCTTCAAAACCAGATGTAGTGATTCCAAATTTCAAACAAAATCCAAATATCCAGAAAAGCATAGTGAAGACAAAGTCTGTCCTACATTAAATAACAGTAATAACATGAAAGTCCTTGGTACTAGTAGAAATAAAAATGGGCTACTTAGTTTGCTGGATAAGAAGATGTAAGTCAGACATCAAACAAATCACATGTAGATTACCACAATGTCACACTAGCCAGTAGAAAAACAAGGTAAACTGCGAAGATACTTGAAAAAAATTGACTTCTTTTATCAAGTAGTTCAAATTACATTCTTAAAAGGTAAAATGTTAAGCACAATACAAAATGTCAGAATATTTTAAAATACCTTGGAGTAGATCTGACATTGAAATTAAGGTCTGAAATTGAGACAGCATATTGAACATGAACACATTTGAATAAACATGCAGTAAGATGACATGTATATAAAACCTTTCACATGAAAATACCATTAAAAAGTGAAAAATAGTCAGACATCAGTGGCTCATGCCTGCAATCATAGCTACTCAGGAGACTGAGATCTGAGAATCACAGTTCAAAGCCAGCCTGGGCATGAAAGTCCTTGAGACTCTTATCTCCAATAAACCACTCAGAAAACCAGAAGTGGTGCTGTGGTTCAAGTAGTAGAGTGTTAGCTTTGAGCTGAAGAGCCCTACAATCAAGAACAATATAAACAAAAACAAAGAGAATAAGGGAGCATGTCTCAAAGAGAGACATGATAATCTGTTATAAAATGTTTTCTTTCCTAGTTTCAATAGAAAAATTATACTTATCATACACTGAGTTAGCATATTCATCTATTAAATTAAGAAATTTAAAAAAATTGTTAACATAATGTGTTCACTGGGGAGTGGAGAAGTAGACACTGACACATTTATTCCATGGAAAATGTACATGTTTTCTATCTCAGTTTTCTACATCTGAACTTTCTTACTGATGACTTGTTTGCAACTTTTTGCCTGAGGAACTTTATGTTGGTGTAACTTGTGGTGGTAGAAGATCTGAAATAACCACAAATCAAAAACTATAAATCATAAATTTACAAAGAGCATACATTCACTGTGAAAGTCTGTGGCCATTCTGTATGGAAAAACAGTAAAACATAGATTTAGATATAGATATAGATAGATAGATAAATAGATATACACACACATATATAAATAATTCAATCTATATATTTTTCTGTGTGTGAGAGAGATAGAAAGTTGTAAAGTTCGTTTTTCTACATAACGCCTTGTACATCTCATTGTTGCAATGCATCTACCTGTATCTCTATTTAAAGATTTGTTTTTTCCCTTCCCCTCCCAAAATTATTCCAACATCAAATACAGTAAAAGCAGGGGTTACACTGCGAGGGAGGGACATACAAAGCAACAAAGAAATCATCTTATAAATATGTTAGAAACAATCACATGGAAGAAAAAAACATTTGAATACCTATCTTGGGGTTCATTTCACCTAACATCAACTTAATCTGACCTTTTCTGCTTGTCTTAGACATATACTAGTTATTGGAAATAAGGGAAAGCATGGGGCTATGTTTCTTTGGGCCTGGCTTACATCACTTAATATAATTTTTTCCAAGTCGTTCCATTTCCTAACAAATGGGAGCAATGTCATTCTTTCTGATGGAGGCATAGAATTCCATTGTGTATATATACCACATTTTCTTGATCCAATCATCTACTGAAGGGAATCTGGGTTGGTTCCATATCTTAGCTGTGGTAAATAATGCTGCAATAAATATCGTTGTGCTGGTAGCTTTCATATGGTCTTGTTTGTGATCATTTGGGTAAATGCCCAAACATGGGATTGCTGGGTCATAGGGAAGCTCTATGTGGAGTCATTTCAGGAACCTCCATACTAATTTCCAAAGTGAACAAGTTTACACTCCCACCAACAATGAAGTAGAGTTCCCTTCTGTCCACATCCCTTCCAGCATCTGTTGTTATTAAAGTTCTTGATTACAGCCATTCTAACTGGGGTGAGGTAGTATCTCAGTATTGTTTTGAGTTGCATTTCTTTTATGGCTAGGGAGGTTGAGCATTTCTTCATGTGTCTATTGGCCATCCTTCTTTCCTCTTCAGAGAAGTTTCTCTTTAAGCCTTTAGCCCACTTATTTACTGGGCAGTTGTTTCTTTGAGGATTTGTTGTTGGGGGATTTAATTTTTTGAGTTCAAGGTATATTTTAGATATGAGACCCTTGTATGTTGTATGGCTAGTGACAAAATGCAAACATAAAGGGGATCCAAATAGGGAAAGGTGAAGTAAAACTCTCGCTTTTTGCAGATGACATTATCTTGTTCAACAGCTGGTTCAATATACACAAATCAATTAATAAAATTCATCACATCAACAAGAGCAAGAATAAGAACCACATGGTTATCTCAATAGATGCAGAAAAAGCATTTGACAAGTTCCAACACCCCTTTATTATGAAGGCTCTAGAAAAATTAGGAATCCAGGGAACATTCCTCAATACAATAAAGACTGTATGTGACAACCCTACAGCCAGCATTATACTTAATGGTGAAAAACTAAAGCCATTGCCTCTTAACTCAGGAATGAGACAAGGATGTCCACTCTCTCTTCAATATAGTATTAGAATGCCTACCTACAGCATTAAGACAAGATGCAAACATAAAAGGGATCCAAATAGGGAAAGCTGAAGTAAAACTCTCCCTCTTTGCAGATGACATGATCTTGTATTTAAAGAATCCCAAAGACACTACTCCCAAATTACTCAAGCTGATTCAAAACTTTGGCAAAGTAGCAGAGTATAAAATTAACCCTCCAAAGGTAATGGCTTTTCTGTATGCCAACATTGAGAAAAGCATGGCTGAAATCAGGAAAGGAACTCCATTCGTAATAGCCCCACAAAAAATAAAAGAACTAGGAATTAAATTAACCAAAGAAGTGAAAGACCCCTATGATGAAAATTTTAAAAACCTGAAAAAGGAAATCAAAACAGAATGTAGAAAGTGACAAAACCTCCCATGCTCCTGGATTGGAAGGATAAACATCGTGAAAATGGCAATACTTCCAAGGCTATCTACAAATTCAATGCAATACCTATTAATATTCCAACCTCATTCTTCAAGGAAATAGAAGAAACAATCCAAAAATTCGTATGCAACAATAAAAGACCCCAGATAGCAAAAACGATCCTTAACAGAAAGAACAGTGCTGGAGGAATATCAATATCAAATTTCAAACTCTACTACAAAGCCATAGTAATCAAAACAGCTTGGTACTAGCACAAGAACAGACCTCAGGACCAATGGAAAATAACTGAAAACCCAGAAATGAACCTATAGACATATAGCCATCTAATCTTCGGTAAGGGAGGTAAAAAAATAGAATGGAAGAAAGACAGCCTCTTCAGTAAATGGTGCTGGCAAAACTGGTTAAATCACTTGTAGAAAACTCAAGCTAAGTACTTATATATCTCCCTGCACCAGAATCAACTTCAAATGGATCAAAGACCTCAGTGTCAAAGCAGACACTCTGAAAACATTACAGGGTGAAATAGGAGAAACCCTAGGTCTCCTTGACACAGGCCCAAATTTTCTTAATAGAGACCCAGAAACACAACAAATCAAAGAAAGGTTGGACAAATGGGATTGCATGAAATTGCAGAGCTTCTGCATGGCAAAGGACATAGCTAGCAGGATCAATAGAAAACCCATGATTGGGAGAAGATCTTCACTAGCCATTTACCCTTCTTATGCTGCATACTCACCAAGCATGAAGAATACTTCAGCAGGGACATGGAGTGAGCACTGTGGCCACTAGGCGTCAGTAGTTCCATTCTCCTCATTGCACAAATGCCCTGGATTTCAAAAGCATGAAACAACTAGAGGAGGTGCATTTGATTGGCTAAACTGAACTTTTCTCCACACATCTTAGAACAAGACCAAAGAACTGAAGGAAGCTCCCCTGAGAAGAGAAGGTTTGGAATCATTATAACTCATCTCAAGACTGAGAGCTCACCATGGAGAATATGTTGCAGTGCATATTCCTGGTCTTGTGGCTTCAGCTTGACTGTAAGTGAGAAATTAAGAGATGAGAACCCCAGGGCAGTTTCATCCAACCTGAGGAGTAGAGGGAGGTATTCAGTCTCAGCTTCTCCAAAGTCTTCTGTTGTAAATGTATCTGAACTGTAGACATTTTGTCATTTTGATTTTCTCCTCCTGAACAGGGCTGCATGGGAAAGATGAGGTGGAGCAGAGTCCTGAGAGCCTGAGCCTCCAGGAGGGAGGCAGTGGCAGCCTCAACTGCAGCTACACCACCAGCAATTTCAGAGGACTTCTGTGGTACAGGCAGGATGCTGAGAGAGGCCTCACACTCCTCTTCAGCCTATATTCAGCTGGGGATGCAAAGCAGAAAGATAGACTGGGAGCCACATTATCAAAAAAGGGAAGCTTTTTGCACATCACCAGTGCTAACCTTGAAGACTCAGCCACTTACCTATGTGCTTGTATGCACAGTGCTCCCCAGGCACCTGCTGACTGCACTGAAACCCTGCAGCAGGGTTCTGAAACAGACAGAGATGTCTCTGCTGCTTTCCTCAAAATGGGTATTTATTTAGCACCCAGAGATGTTACAATTCATTCCATCCAAGTCCTAGATTGTTCTCTGTCCATGGTCATAGTCAATCTGCTCTTCACAATGGATAAATGCTTTCTTCTCAGGAACTCAGAGGTGAAAGCTGGGATGTGGAGGGTCAAGGTTTCTAAGGCTCATTTGTAAGGGAATGCACAAGTACACACACTTCCCTTAGAGAATATTGATTCTCTCACAATATTGTGCCTACATGATAAGTAAATCTTTTCTATTTTAATAATCTCCTACAGTGGCCAACATGGCTATCATATCAGAATCAAAATCAAGTAAATTATCTATAATCTGACCCTTTACTTCCTCAAGTCCAGTTCTCCAGGCCCACTTGAATCTGTCCTCTCTCAGCATCTTTCCAAGGGAAGCTACCTAGAACACCAGGGATTTGTGGCTAATCTTGTCTGCAATGTCAGTAGTCTTTTCTCCTTTCCTTTAAAAATACTTCTATTTTAATTTTAATCTATTTAATCTATTTATTTACAATATTAAATAGCAATATGCATTTGGCACCAGCCCAGTGCAGACAGCAAGCTGGGCTGCCCAATGATAATTCTCAGGTGAGGGGTCCAACACTTACCCCAATACTTTGGAAAGCAATTTCCCAACACATATAATAAAGTACACAAAACATAAGCTTATTGCTGAATAAAATTTTATGCTAGGTTTTATTCTATATAATACCTTTGTATCTATATGTTGAAACTTTCTATTATTGAGATTTTCATGGCTCCTTCCAACTCTACAGCTCTCTCCTCTACCCCATTCACTTGAACTCCATCGTCAGCTCAAACTCTATAGGCCTGGAATCAGAGTCATTCTGTATCTACAACCATGTCCACCTTCCATCACTTAGCAAAATCTCTACAATTCATTGATGTTGTTGTGGGCATCAGTTCTTTTTTCTTTTTTTTAAATGGCAGTACTGAAGATGGAACTCAGAGCCTTGTACTTCCAAAAGTATCTATTCAAAAGTATCTATCCAAAAGTATCTATTCCTGGGCTATAATCCTCTTATGTTTCCTTGTGTTGCTGAAAATGACAGACCTGTACCACCACATCTAGTCATTATGCTTCCTTTTACCTGGAGCTTCAGTTTTGCCACTATGACCAGACATTTTAAGTGGGATGGAGGCTTCTGAACTTTCATGCCCTTACTGGCTTCTAAGTTCCATCACATAGTCTCTACCTGCTGCACAGCTGGAATTCAGGCATGACCCATTATACCTAGTTCTCTCTCTTGACTCTAGAATTATTGAGTAGAGATCCTTAAAATAAATACACATCAACTTATTTATACATTCCCCTTGGAACAGACATTTGCTGTTGGATTATTTAGTTTGGTGCCATAATGAGAGAAGCAGCAACAAACATACATCAGGTTGTAGTGTAGATATGAATTCATTACCTTTGGCAATTGAACCAAAATGGATGTATGAGGACTTACAGTACACATGTGTTTAGGATTAGTGGTTATAAAAAATATATTCCAAAGAGTTGAGCCAATTAAATTCTCAACAACAACACATGGATTTCCAGAAGCTGACTATCCTCATCAAAATTAGATCTATTTTCTTTACTTTTAAATGAGGACTGGATTTTTATTAATTTAACTAGAGAAAGATAGGGATGTTAAACAACGGAACAACATGTGGCACCTCCAAGCAAGAATTTTGGCATCTTGGCAGTTCTAGCCTAGCCCTTGTCTCAGCCAAGGTGTTCCTCAAGCCAGGGAGGGTGACTGCTGAGTCACACACAGCCCTCTCACACTGTCCAAAGGAACCTCCTAGTATAGCAATCATGCTCTGTAAAGATGAGCCCATTCGTCTAAGTAAAGGATGAGAATCATGTTGACAGACCTCTATTAGGAAGCTGAATTCTCTACATTTGAAAATTGGACATTGGAGGCTATTGATTTGGAACATGTACATTTGATGGATATTTCAAACCCCAAATCTCCTGCATTTGTTGGAACTCCATTTCCCCTTATGTCTGATGTAGTGTTGTAAGAGTGGACTTAGTTAATTAATGATTTCACATCAACAGAACCTGTCAACCTGAAGATTTTGATTCCATAATGTGTAGGTGTGGAAGTGCACAAAACAGTCTATGAGTCCTTCCAAGAGGCCTGTTGGGTAGTTATGGCTGGGTTCACTGCAGACAAAGGTGATGTCATGGCCATGTATCTTGATTGCATGATGGTGACACCAGGTGGTTGCAGTGGAGGAGCAATTTGGTCAACAGCTGGTGTTTTTATGGCTGCTGGGTGGCATAGAAAACCATTGTCAGATTATTGTCCACTTAAGATCCCTAAGGTGGGATGAGGTATGCCTCTTGAACTGGATGGATGGCCAGTATTAGAGCCTGATCCATGCATGGGCAGGAACTATGAAAAGTATATTGTTGGAGTCTTTCAAGGTGGAAATAATGCACTGTGTGTCAGATGATCAGAAGCAGGAGGTGGGTCCTGGTTCAACTCAGAAAGATCAGAGGAGAGTGAAAGAAGGAAGCCTTTGATGGTGGTGGTGTATGTATAGCATTATAATTGTTCATGAATGATTTAGTTGGTGAAGTATGGTCTCCAGGATGGGGATAATGACTGGTCCCATGTTAGGAAGGACCAAAGGACCAGCACACATGGGTAAAAAAGCACTGTGCTGCTATATGTCATGGATGATGTTTGGGGTCAAATGGTTAAAAACTAGAGAAGGGCGGGGCAAGCTAGAGGTGAATTGGTTGGGACTGGCGCTGTTACAAGCTGCTCCTGCTGAAAGTTATAGGTGATCTGGGGAAGTAAATAGGGGTAGAGTGTAGGGGAACTGTTGAGTACTGGTCCAATTAGAATGCATCCCTGTTGCAGGCTATAGAGATCTGGGGAAATTGATAATGGTCAGAGCTGGAGAATAGGGAAGATCTGAAAATGACTACTTCAGAAGGTAGTGTGTTGGGGTTGGGAAGGTGGCTCAGTGGTAGAGCGCTTGCCTTGCATGCCTGAGGCCCTGGGTTTGATTCCTCAGCACCACATAAGCCAAAAGAAAAAAGCCGGAAGTTGCGCTGTGGCTCAATTGGTAGCGCGCTAGCCTTGAGCTGAAGAGCTGAGGGACAGCGCCCAGGCCCAGAGTTCAGGCCCCACAACCGGACCTAAAAAAAGAAAAAGAAGGTAGTGTGTTATCCACATAGCTGGCTGCGTGGTCACATGATCAGATACCTTGGGAAGTGTATAACAAATACAATGCTGGTGGTGCCAATGTTCACATTATTCCTGGTTGTTTGGAATACAGGGTCGTAGGAAAGAAGTGATGGTAAATGTGCACACATAGAAGTAAGGGATCCTTTTGTATAGTATGAGGCAAATGTTTAGAGAGTGGTGCTTTGGGGAAGAGAGAAGTAGGAGAGATGACAGCTCTGGATATATGAGAACTTATCATTTAGAACCCCCAAGTTAGATGCAGGGGGTACAGGGAAGAAGACGGTGTGCAAAAGAAGCCAACGGGGAACTCGATATTGTAGGTGTAGTGCTTGATGAGAGTGTTGACAGGACCTTAGGCCCTCAGCAGCCAGTTTGTCCACATTAGTGGTGTTAAAAAGAGGTGGAGTCCTGAAATAGACAGGGACAGGTCCCTGCATGAGGTGAAGGAAAAAAAGAGGCAGTATTGATGTCACTGCCATCACCTCTGTTCTACCCTCCAAGACTTCTAAGATTTCCTTTCCATGGTGAAGTTTGAGACCTGGGAATGTCAGGGACATGCAATGGGGTACCTATAGGAGACATATGGACATCCTTGGAAAAAAATTCCACTGGGGACTAGTACAGCATCCCTTGAGAAGAGTCTTTCCTGATGTTCCCAGACTACATGGTGATTTTTCACCATTGCTAAGTTGACCCCTCTTCTCAATGGTCTGTCCCTAACCCTCTTCCTGAACTTCCAACTCCCCCTAGAGATCTTCTCGACCTTTGGCTTCTGTGTCTTTTGGGTGAGGAGAACAGCAATGGCATGACTTCTTCAGCTCTGAAAGCTAAGCAAAGGGCTTAGGTGTTGAAATGAGAAGCGTAGGACTACATTGAGAAGAATAAGAAGGGGTCGTCATGATTCTGGGGTTTCAACATCTCTGAGTAGCCAATTGGCAGTACAGGTATCATTTGCTGGAGTTGTTGTTGTTGTTGTTTTGTTGATGTTGTAGCCAGTCCTCTCTAGGTGCCAAACAGACATTCCATAGAGGGGAGTCTGTGGCCTCTGGCAGAGGGCACCTCCTCTTAAGGGCCCTGTGGTGACTAGCTGAAGAAGTCACCTAGCTGAGATCTGGTTGACCATCTGCAAATAGGCTAATCTGTGCTGTAAACCCTCCTAGATAAGGTTTGGTAGCCAGGCCTACAATTGTATTTACTGCGAACTTTCCCATTACAAGAAACTGTGTGAGAATAATCAGCAAAATCAAGAAGAAATGACTAGAGCTATTCCTTTTCCATTCTCTGGTAGCTATGAATGCACTGCTCAGTGTGGTCCTTCCTGACATCACATGGCACATTCAACAGAATAGGTGTGTATGCACACTCTGGGAGCAAGGCCGGTTCAATTCAAAATGCTGCGAAAGCCATCCAAGGACCAGTAGGCCAAAGGCCATCCACGGGGATTTGTAGCTCCTGCGTTCTTCCAGCTATCCTTTGCAAGTACCGGCACCAAAAGGTAACTCTCTGGTCCTGTGTTTGACCAATATGTAGACTTTTCTAGCAACACAGGATGGCCTTGAGCTGGGTGCACCACTACCAGGACCAAGGCACCTGGTCCTCTAAGGTTTCTGGTTCTGAGAAGAGGACAGTGTGACATAAGCAGATTGGCTGCTGCAATATCCAACATCTTTTTGTAGCAGACAGGTTAATTAACATTTAAGTCTCACATCCTTCTTCTAGTGCCACAGGTGTTCGTGCCCCAGCCAGACTCTGGACTCAGACTAGGTGGGTCATGCTCTGCATCCATCCACCTCCTTGTAATGAAAGCATCCTCCATTTTTCTAGTCTATACATAACCCTCATTCTCCATTTCTTATCCATAGTGAGCTCAAGCACTGTCTGGAAGAGTCATGAAAAGTCAAAGGCCCATATTCCAGGCTCTTGGGGAGGGATGTAGTACCAATGGTCAGAGCAGCTTCATTTCCCATCTCTCTTGGATTGAACCTTGCAGAATAGATATTTGTTGGTCGGAAGAATTCAGCTATGCAAACTTTATAAAAGATCTGTTTGGGTTTGTGCTGAATGAATTCACTACCATCTTATCCCATATAAATATGGAGCCAAGTTTCTGGTCTTCATGGATTGGGTTTAAAAATTAAATGCATTGAGCTGGGAAAGTGGCTCAGTGGTAGAGCGCTTGCCTTGCATGCTTGAGGCCCTGGGTTCGATTCCTCAGCACCACATAAGCAGAAAAAAGAAGCCAGAAGTGACATTGTGGCTCAAGTGGTAGAGTGCTAGCCTTGAGAAGAGCTGAGGGACAGTGCCCAGGCCCAGAGTTCAGGCCCCATGACCGGACCCCCCCCCAAAAAAATTAAAAGCATTATTGATTTGTTAACAAAGAGTGGAATAATATGTTGGACTAAAGTAAAATCCACTTGTTTTACACATCGTGAGTACACCTGTTGTATCAACTCTGAACATTACTGTCCCTTTAATGTAACTATAGAACTCCTATGCTCAAGAGAAGAATCATTTTCTTGGGGTGACAAGAGCAATACATATGATTATCCTAAAAACTGTAAATATCAGAAAGATATGAAAGGTTCAAACACACACGGCATTCTCTAGGTTGGATCTTGTTGCTTTGACTTCATTCATTCAGTTGATTTTCTCTCAGGAAGAATTATTTTGAAACCTCATGGAGAGGTTTCAAAACCCTGAGTGACAAAAAGCTATAGAAGTATTTACATATATATATATATATATATATATGCATATATGTGTTTGTGTACATACATATGAATGTGTATATTTATATAAATTTTTTTAAATAGCATACATACATACATACATACATACATACATATGCATGTGTGTTTATGAGTATTTTTTGTTTCCTTTTTGAGACCAGTCTCAGTAGTCCTAGAATGCATAATCCTTCAGCCTCAGGCTCCCAAGGGCTGGGACATCAGGTGTGTATCTCTAAGTCCAACTTAATTGTTTCAATTTACAAAATAAATTTAAGATAACACTTTAAACATTTCATATATTAAAAGTAACTTTTACTCTTCTAATAAGAATCTTTTCTTACCATATCAGAAAATATTTGGACATATATTCCTAACTCTGAGATGGATAGGACACGAAAAGTTTTATTTAGCCCCAAATTCTCTTTTAAAAATTAAGAAGTATTTCAGAGCCTTTTTACTCTTCTGAGAGCCAGAAGTAAGTTAGAATTGTTAAAATTAAACACAATTCTAATTTTCACCTTGGGTTTTTTTTAGCTTATATCAAGAGTGCCATGGGGGTTCATTAGGATAATTCTACAAATAATTTAGATAAATCTTCAGGTATATTGCATACATTGTCCTTTGAAGAAGTTCATCACTCTGGTACATTTCCTTTGCCTCTTTTGTTTTCATAACACTTTATCATTGTTTTGTGAGTTTCATTAGGCTTTTTGTGTATATGTGTTATGTATTTCAATCTTCTTTACCTCTCAATATAATCTCCTTCTGCCTCTTCAATCCTGCTTATCACTACCAGTCTCCTTTTTACATACATATTTCATTATCATTAGCAGCAATACAATAACCATCACGATTATCGTATTTATTTTAGGTTTACTTTCTACTTGATAAAAAATATGATATTTTGTTTTATCACATTCACTGTGATGATTTCACAATTCTATACATTTTCCTTCAAATAGCAAACTTTTGTTCTTCTTTATGGCTGAAAAATACTGCATGAAGTATATACCACATTGTCTTGATCCATTCTTCAGTTGTTGGGCACTTAGCTAATTTGCATTATGAAAAATGCAAAGACAAGCAGAAATGTGGAAGTGTTTGTCTTGAAAATTTATTTACATTTAGAGATATGTGCCAAGGTATTAAATGAGGTCTCATTTTAGTTGTTTGAGGAACTTGCATATGAATTTCTGTAGTTGTCTCACTGGCTTACATTCCCATCAATGGTGTATGAGAGTTCTTTTGCCCTGCCTCCCCATGGGTATTTCCTTGATGATTGCCACAATTGGGGTGAGAATCGCAATATCATTTTGATGTGTATTTCCTTACAGCTGTGATTAATATTTCTTGGTATATTACCATTACTATTTCTTCTGAGAACTATCAGTTAAATTCATTTGCT